TTCTTGGACCAGCAGAAAATTATATAAAAAAGTAACAGCCAAATAATATTGATAACTATGGGATCTGCCATCAGGCTGTAAAGTCTTCTAACTAATTATTAATGTGACCTTTACCTGAAGCCTATTTTCTGTCATCATCTCTTATTCCTCTATTTTGGTTAAAAGCGAGATGACTGATATTAAGTGTCAGTTCTTCTCTCTAATCTTCATAGTTTGTGTGCCCTCATTCCTTAGGCACAGAAACTTCTGGCAGGAAGGTCTTAGCCGAAGGCAGTCTTAATCCTGGTTCTAGGACCTGTACACAAGGAGGGGAATGTAAAACCTTTTCCTTAGCTCAATGACCTGGGGGGTGACTGGTCTTAGAGAATGGAGATATTGTGAAGGGGGCTGGGATTTGCCCATTGATCCTCCAACTTACAACTTCTTCCCCTCCATTCTCTCATCCGTAGCGGCCTTCCTCACCCAGTCTGTTTGTCTAGATGACACAACAGTCAAGTTTGAGATCTGGGACACAGCTGGGCAGGAACGATACCATAGCTTGGCCCCCATGTACTACAGAGGTGCCCAAGCTGCCATTGTGGTTTATGACATTACTAATCAGGTAAGTGGGCTGAGAAGATTCTCCTGCTTTTATTTATAGGAATTAAATTAGGTGGGGAAGAGAAAACCAGGTCTTAGCAAAATAAAAATATAAATTATACTTCCAAGTGCTGGTGAGACTGAGGTAATGGAAGTATCAGACACAAGTGGTTTCAGTGAGGGAAGCCTGTCTAGGAGAGGTGAGTTTTGAGACTGGGTTTTGAAGATGATGGGCCTGGATTGGCAGTCTTTCCAGCCAACCCTTCTCTTCCTCATGTTTTTCTAGGAAACCTTCGCCAGAGCAAAGACATGGGTAAAGGAACTACAGCGACAGGCCAGTCCTAGCATCGTTATTGCCCTGGCGGGGAACAAAGCTGACCTGGCCAATAAGCGCATGGTGGAGTATGAAGTAAGATGGCCTGGAGAATCCCTCTGTAACACGCTCCCTCTGTGCTTGGGACCTTTTTTCCATAAACCTGCCCTCTCTGAAAACCTCACCTGAGGACATTTATCATCTCATTTCCCAGTTCCACACCAAGTTAAATACAGCAACACTGTGACCCTAATGACAGCCAGGAGATTTTAGAGGAGACAGAAGAAAATTCAAGAGCAGAGGGGTAGGGAAGTGCCAGGTATGGGATACCAATGTGAAAACGGGAAAGAGGGAACAGTTGAATTTGAGGAAAGGGACTATTCAAGTGTCACAGCCTAAAAGCCCCCAACCAACTTACATTCTCCCTCATAATTAAGATTCCTGGCACCTGCTGGTTGGATTAAGCTGTCTAGACCACCAGTTATCCTTAAGGGAGTTGTCACCAAAATATGGGTCCAGGGCCATCTGGCTCAGAGGGGCAGTTAAAGTGAGGGAACCTAGGATATCGCCTAGCTCTGGTGCTACATGGGAGTGGAAAGGCAATACTTCTTCCTACCCTACATTCTGAGTACCGGTACACCCACCCCTTGCAGGAGGCCCAGGCGTATGCAGATGACAACAGCTTATTGTTTATGGAGACTTCAGCCAAGACAGCTATGAACGTGAATGATCTCTTCCTGGCAATAGGTAAGGTCAGAGCAGCCTGGGGTCTTCGTCTTTCTCCCTTGCCTCTAGACAAGATCACTAACCCAAGTCATAAAGGTGGAGGAGAGTATCTCCTCTTGTGAAAACTTTAGGTATAGAAATATCTTAACTTTCCATTATGACCTCAACCCTCTGGCTGCAGCTTTAGGCCCCCCCCCCCCCCTCCCATCTTCAACATAGTTTACAGGTGAACCTTACCCGCTTCAAAACATTCTTTTAATCTTCCATATTTCCCCCTTCCCCATCTCTCCCCCACCCATAGTCCTTTGGAGGGATGACTAAAATCTACCATACTTTTTTCCTTCTCTTTTTATCTCTAGCTAAGAAGTTGCCAAAGAGTGAACCCCAGAATCTGGGGGGTGCAGCAGGCCGAAGCCGGGGTGTGGATCTCCATGAACAGTCCCAGCAGAACAAGAGCCAGTGTTGTAGCAACTGAGAGGGTGGCTAGCAGCAAACAAGTCTGGAGCTAGCACGAGAGCTAAGAAATAACCTCCATCCCCACCCCTCAGCACACAGCCCCTACGGTAACAGCACACTGAGCCCTGGCTCCCAAGGGCTGCCTCCTGACAGCTCCGTCATGGCACTTTTTAACGCTTCAGCAACCAACACCAGGCAGCTGTTGCCACTGGCCGCCTACCCCTGCTCTGGGGCTTAGGGGTCAGAGCCCCCAGGACTTACCTTCCAAAACCAACTTTCTTCACTTTGTATTATAGGTGCAAGACAGTGACCTACTTATCTTTCCTCCTCCTCCTCCTCCTCCTCATTTTTTCAGAAAACATTTTTTTGTCTTCTGCCCTTTCCCCTTCTGCTTTTGGTCAATCCCTGTTCTTGATCCCCTTTTCCTCCTCTCCCCAGGATGGAGAAGGTGATGAACCCAGGAACTGAGGAAGGAGATCTCCAGTTCAGTCACATTAAGGGCCCTGGGGGGAGAGTAAGGCTCAGAGCAGGAGGGAGTAAGGAAACAGTTCCTTTCTTGGGAGAAGGGGGTTGGAGTTTCTCATATGAAAACACTGCAGTCTCCATGAGTTGGCCTTGTGGAGGGTGTTTCTAGGTAGAGGTGAGAAATGGAAGGCAAGCTCTTGGGTACCAGATAGGAGTTGTGTTAGTTAACTGGGCAGAGGTGGAGGAGGTGGAGATGTAGTGTCACCTGTGGCTCTGGAACTGTTCCAAGGCCTAACTACCCCCTCACCCAGCCTCTTAGGTAGCTCCTCCCCCATAGTGGGGGAGACTCTGGACCCCAGAGTCCTCCAAAGAATCTTCACTGGTTGCCTGCATCTTTGGCTCTGCTGTGATCTAATTAGAGGAGGGACCAGTTTCTGATACCCATCCTCTGATTTATACATATGCATTTCCCCCCCTCTGGCCTTTAGATGGCCTCAGCCCCAGCCACTATATTCCCCTGCAGTTTGCACTTTAATTGGTGGTAGTTCAGTTGGGATACTTGTTTTATGGGGGTTTTGATTGATTTACCTGCCCTCTCACCTTTTAATTAAATGGAACCCAAGGTAGTATATATATGAGGTTTTGGGAGGGGCTATAGAGAACAGGACCAGTGGCAGCTACTCAAGCCCAGTCTCCACTGCTTGCTTCCTCCAACTCTGATTCTTAACCTATATTCTTGCCAACCTAACTCTCGAGTATAGGTTTGCCTTTCCTGGGGAATTAACTGAGCAACTGGAGAGCGGTCTCAGGATAGCCTAGGCCATGGTATGGGAGTAAAGAGGGGTCAGGCGAGAGGGAGGAGTTTTCTGTCCTTTCCCAAGGTTCATGTTCAACGATCTACCCATTACCATGTCTTTTCTACTTCCCTGTAAATAGGTATGATCTTTATTCCCACTGTACAGTCTGTTCTGTCCTCCACCTCCTATCAGGCCCTATGTCTTTTTCCCTTTGTTAGTATGTTTGGTTTAGTTCCTCCATCCTTATCCTTATACCCACCCCCAGCCAGTGGTTTAATCCACATACCACTAGGGGCTAATACCACAGAGGCCTACTTGTGGCCCCCTCATACTGTAACACCTCTTCCTGTGGATAGGGAACAACTGGCACTGAAGGTCCGTCACAGCTGTCTCACATCACCAGGGGACGTGGGTCCTTTCTAAATCTCTAGCCACTCCTCACATCCCTCATCAGGTATTTTAGGATGTCTTTGGGAAGTCATCAAGGCAAGAGAGAACTCTAAACTCCTTGTTCCAGCCCAGAGTTTTGGGAAATTTGGGGGAAGTAAGATAGGAAAGGTCACAGTGACCTAGGATTGGAACCTTTCTACCCTTTGATTTGCAGACTGCGTTCTGTCCCAGAGCAGCTGAAAAATCCTTGGAGCTGAGACTCTGAAGGACCCAGCTTAGGTTCTTCCACTTAGGACTCATTTCCCTTCCTTTCCCAGGGGCAGCCTTAGTTCCCGTGGCCCTGAAACACACATTTTTCCTTTCCTTTCCCAGCACCTACCAGCCTCCCAAAGCACCCAGTGCATCTTTGTAAGTGGAAGAACTAGGATAGCTCTCTTAAATTCCTTAGAAATGAAGTTTTTTTGTTTTTTTATTTTTGTTTTTGTTTTTTTTTCTCTCTGCATCTTTCCCCATGGAACAGGAGTGAAGTGTTTCATTGCCTTGGGGCTGGGAAACCATTTCTCCAGGCTTCTTCTCCCCTCCCCATCCCCCTATGGAACAGGATTGGTCTTAGCTTCTGGGCCTATCTGCTGCCTTCCTTCTATTTCCTACTAGCTCCTCTGCTTTCCTTTGAGCTCTCTTGGGCTTGGGGATCTTAGTTTTTATTTCCCAGCTCTTCATTTTTTTTTCTTCTGATCAGTTTTTTTTGGGGGGGGTGGGGTATCCTTTTCTTTTCTTCTAAGAAAGCATTTGCCTTTTTCCCCTTTTCTTCCTCTCCCAACATAACAATCGTGGTAACAGAATGCGACTGCTGATTTACCGATGTATTTAATGTAAGTAAAAAAGGAAAAAGAAAAGAAAAGTGTATTGGAGTGTTGCTTCTTTTTTCCTTTGTCTCTTTTTTTCCCTTTGCTATCCTTTTTCTTTTTTCTTTTTCTTTTTCTTTTCTTTTCTTTTTTTTTTTTTGCTATTTGTCTGATACAAGAAATTTGGAAGAAAGGGCATCCAGTGTTTTTGTTTGTTTGTTTGTTTTTAAAGATTTTATTTATTTATTTGACAGAGATCACAAGTAGGTAGAGAGGCAGGCAGAGAGGGGGGGGGAAGCAGGCTCCCTGCTGAGCAGAGAGCCTGCCGTGGGGCTCGATCCCAGGACCCTGGGATCATGACCCGAGCCGAAGGCAGAGGCTTTAACCCCCTGGGCCACCCAGGCGCCCCGGCATCCAGTGTTTTATCGAATCAGAAACGCACCCTCTTTTACATCTTGGTTATCTCCTTATTCCCTTTAATCTTTTCTTGAATAATGACATAGCCCAATTTGGAAAATATTCCCTTTATTGCTGTGAAACTCTATTCCCAGGTCACTAGAGACCTTATCAAATCCGACCTAGCTTATTCTTACAGGCTTCTTAATGGAATATATATTGGTGGGGGAGGGAGAGATCTCTGGGCAGACAACTGATGAGACTGGAGGGAGAGGTCATATTTGTGAATCCTTTGAAGAAGCAAAAGTTTATGTGCATTTCTACACGGAAAGGGTGCATTGCCTTATTGGTATCACAGAGGGGTCCATGACCTAAAAAAGGTTAAAGAAATCATTAAATTTGTGTTTGTGATTGATCATGTGGCTTCTACCCCAACAGGAAAATTTCTCCTAGATCTGATCTTGTTTGCTACTGTACTTGAAGCCCTTCAGTCCATCACAGTCTAAGTGGGGGAGAAAGATTGGGTATGGTTGCAGGACAGGAAACAGGACTGGTGTCAAACAAAGTTGGCATTGCAGTCGCATCTGACAACTTACCAGCTATGGCCTTGATCAAGTTTCTTAGCTGCTCTCTGCCTCAGTTTCTTCTGTAAAATGAAGAAAATTTGAGGTTTAAAGGTCAATTATGTTAAAGTATGTGTAGGGCACACAAGGTGACACTGTTATTAGGGAGAAGTCTTATCCTGTGGCTTCAGACGGTCCCTAACTGATTTCTCTGTATCCTTGGGCTGAGCCTATTTTTCAAGGCTGGTAGGGTAAGTTGGGCATCACACCTCTCCAAAGACTTAATTGAACACAGCTGAGTTAGAAATCTATTTCCAAAAACCTCTAGGCCAGAATCACCTTTTCTCTGTCGAGTCCCCTTTTCCTCTGTCTCCTAGTACTCCCTCCAAGGTTCCTTGATTCCTGGCAAAAGCTCTAGTTCACTTTAGGAGAGCAGAAAGGGAGAGGAAATGATCTTCCAAAATTAAAGATGAAACCTTCACTTAAAGTAAGGTTGTAGGTCAACCTTCTGAACTCTAGGGGGCAGTGTGGGTACGTTTGCCCCAGGTTCACAGCCAGCCAAATAACAAAATTTTCAGCCCTGCACCAAACAATAAAGGGTAATTGCAAACGTCTTCTTAGTGCTCTCTACTCTGAGATTATGAGCGATGATAATCTTCCTACTTTGGAGTGTTAAAATGTTATTGCTCTCGTTATGACCAATGATTTTTTAATTGAGTTAACCAAGGAAAAAATTGCTATTTATATTGTTGGTTCCATAATTGGGGACGAAAAATCAACAAGTCAAAGGGATCTCAAAGTCTTTGAACCACTGTTTAGGCTTCATTTCTGCTTTTATTGTTGGATGTAAGAAAATTGACTGCTTGACCTTGTTTTCACTAAAAGACAAACAAGTTTGTTGTAGTTGCAACACAGAGGTTTGTCAAAAACAGGGTAGAGGCGGAGCTCACAGCCGGGAGAAAGGCGGCTGGATTTCAAGGCCTCTTCAGTAAACGCACTTTGTGTCTCAGCTGTGAGGGGCAGGGTGGGGGCATCTCAAAACTGCCCACCTTCAGCCCAGCCTTTGGAATCCTCGACACCTTCCATTGCCCGGTTCCAGACAACAGCGAGGGTCCCATTCCATGTCTAGCGGGGATAGAAACAAAACAGCCAGTCTTAGCCGGGAGCCTTCGTGGCGCCTCGCCTGCCTCAGCCTCCAGGAGGCGGGCACAGCAGCTGGGAGGTGGCCCGCGGCCAGCCAATGGCTAGGGGACGAGCTGAGAGGCGAAAGTGGTCCTTCACTCCCGGCCAACGTCATGGTGCTGGCCCCGCCCCTTTGCCCCCGGGTAAAGCAGCCGCCAAGCGGACCGAGAGGACGCCGAACCCGGTAAGGTGGTTGGGAGCTGAGAGAGGGAGGAGGTGGAGGAAGGCCTGGAACGAAGGCGATAGCTGGGGTCCTGGGACCCGGGAATGCTCCGAGGACCGTGGGTTTGAACAAAAACTGCCGATACAGCCTCCGCTCCCGCTGTCCAGCTGCTCCTAGGGGCGCGGTTGTTGCTACGAGACACTTGTGCCAGCAGCTGGGCAGTGGCATGGAACTGGGTGTTTGTGCTTTAGAGCTGGATATATCTTACTCCACCTAAAGTGCCCCTGGGGAGTGAGGGGCCACCACCCGGACAAGGGGTGTGGCATCTGTTTTAGAGCAGAAGGTTGCTTCTCCCAAACCTGGGACACTGAGCTGACCGAGTTCACCTGTAAGACAGCCCTACTGGCACCACTCCAGCCTGGTTATTCTAAGTGGGCTGCTGGCATCAAGGGCAGGTGGGAGGGAAAGGGAGGATCCCATGGCCCGGGGTAAAATGCAGACTCTGTTCCTGCTCCTGTCACCCTTGCAGTTTCCCTGTCTGCCCCTTCTTTAGCATTTCACCAGCAATTGGGGCTTCTCTCACTCTTCCCTATTTTGGCATTCCTGGAGTCTGCGATCTATTCAGTGCTCTGAGGAAGGAACTGCTACAGGGCAGAGTGGAAAAATTACTTCTCTAGCCCATCCCCTGACACCCTGGCCCTTAACTTCCCAGTTTGCTGAGTTCACAGGCATACCTAGACAGGGCAAGGGTGGGGACCCTGGGCTGGGGTTCAGTTCCCAGCTGGATTCTATTTTCTTTTTTCCTAGGGTTGGTAGAGGAAAGGAGGGGACTGAAAGGTCTTCAAAGACAACGTTATTACCTGTTTGCTCCTCACAGCTACTCTGCTAGGTACCTCTCATTCCACAGACAAAGACAACAGTTTTGAGAGGCTTGGTATCTTGCCCAGGCAATGGGGCTGGTTAACAGCAGGTCTGGTTTCACAAACCCAAAACAGTTCCACTCCAGAATCTGAGCTCATTCATCTCATTAGGCTACCACTACCTTTTTCACTTTTTGTCCCTATCTAAGTTAATCTGCCCCTCAGTTGTCCTCTGCTGACTTTGGAAATAATAAACCAGCAAACTGGACTGTAGATATTTTGGCTTCTGTCCTTTAGGCCCTTGGCCCGGATCACTGTTCCCTGTAGTGGACAAAGTAGAGAATGGAGGATGGGAGATAGGAGATAAGTGATTCTAGAAGACCAGCCCCCCTCTCTCTGGCCCCTTCCCTTCCAGGCTGTCTCCACAGTCTCTCTGAAGTCCTTTAGGTTTTCTCTAAGGACCAATTTGGACTAACACACACACACACACACACACACACACACTTCCATCCTTTGGCCTCATTACCATGATAAAGTATCCTTATTTGCCCAGGGAGTTCCTTGCTTACCTTCTGTCTTCCTTCCACCCATTTTTTCAAGTTGCCCTAATATCATCCCCTTCTTGATCCTGGAATCTTTTTCCCACAGGTCTGCCACAATGCTGCTGCACAGGGCTGTGATCCCATGTCTCCGACAGGCCTGCAGGTAGGCCAACCGATCCTAGAATTTGCCTCCTGGCCCTTATCTCTCACTCCCAGTATCTTTATGATGTTTAATCTACCAGATAAGATAGTTGAGGTGGTGACTGCCAGGGAAGGAAGGGAAAGCCATAACTCATGCATGTGCCCCACCCATCCATAGATGAACAATAGTCCCAACTGAAGGAACCAGTGGCCAACCTGGTAAACCCCAGGTTTTCACTTTCTCTCCCATATGATCTGAACTGTGCTACTAAGAAGACCTCTCTCTTTTCCAGGCTCCAATCAGTCCCCTCAAGGCTCTGCATTCGGGCCTGCTCTACAAATGATTCACTTCAGCCCCAGTGCCCCAGCCTTGACTTCTCTGGTGCTAACTCCAGCACTAGGGGATGGAGAGTCATGGGGACTCTGCTAGGCCTCGGTGCAGTGTTGGCCTATCATGACCACCGGTGCAGGGTAAGTGGGGAAGGGAGGGACTTCACTGTCAAAGCAGAGGGGCCCTAGTAAGCTCCCCAGACAACCCAGTCTATTAACACAGAGCCCATGGTGATACTGTCTTCCTGAAGACTAAAGATGGAGTCTACTACCTCTGTTTCACAGTGGCCATGACTTTATGGGTTGGGTCAGGGTGAGCCAGAGTGATTCCTTCTTACTATTTATGTTTCTTTGTGGCTTACCCCTGCCCTGCCTGCAGGCTGCTGAGAAGTCACCACGCATATATACCAGAGAGGAAGTGAAATCTCACAGCAGCCTTGAGACTAGGATCTGGGTAACTCTGGGCTGTGAGGTGTTTGATGTTACAGAATTTGTGGATCTACACCCAGGGGGGCCATCAAAGCTGATGCTAGCAGCAGGTGGTCCTTTAGAGCCTTTCTGGGCCCTCTATGCTGTTCATGACCAGGCCCACGTGCGTGAGATACTGGCTCAGTACAAAGTTGGGGAGCTGAGCCCTGAAGACAAAGCACCCTCCACCTTGAAGACCTCTGACCCTTACGCTGATGATCCTGTACGTCACCCAGCCCTGAAGGTCAATAGCCAACGCCCCTTTAATGCAGAGCCCCCCCCTGAACTGCTGACAGAAAACTATATCACACCTAACCCTATCTTCTTCACCCGGAACCATCTGCCTGTACCTAACCTGGAACCGGAAACCTATCGCCTGCATGTAGTAGGGCCACCTGGGTGTCAGTCGCTGTCCCTATCCCTGGATGACTTGTACCAGTTCCCCAAGCACGAGGTCACAGTCACTCTTCAGTGTGCTGGAAACCGACGCTCTGAGATGACTCAGTTCAAAGAAGTAAAAGGTCTGGAGTGGAATGCAGGGGCCATTAGCACTGCACGCTGGGCTGGGGCACGCCTCTGTGATGTGTTAGCCAAGGCTGGTCACCAACTCCGTGAAACTGAGGCCCACGTCTGCTTTGAGGGACTGGACTCAGACCCCACAGGGACTGCGTACGGAGCATCCATCCCCCTGGCTCGGGCCATGGACCCTGAAGCTGAGGTCCTGCTGGCATATGAGATGAATGGGCAACCCCTGCCTCGTGACCATGGCTTCCCTGTGCGGGTGGTTGTTCCTGGTGTGGTGGGTGCCCGTCATGTCAAATGGCTGGGCAAAGTGAGCGTGGAACGAGAGGAAAGTTACAGTCACTGGCAGCGGCGGGATTACAAAGGCTTCTCTCCGTCTGTGGACTGGGACACAGTAGATTTTGACTCAGCTCCATCTATTCAGGAACTTCCTGTCCAGTCAGCCATCACAGAGCCCAAGGATGGGGAGACTGTACGATCAGGGGAGGTGACTATCAAGGGCTATGCATGGAGTGGTGGTGGGAGGGCTATAGTCAGGGTGGATGTGTCTCTGGATGGGGGCCTAACCTGGCAAGTGGCTGAGCTGGATGGAGAGGAACAGCGTCCCCGGAAGGCCTGGGCCTGGAGGTTATGGCAGCTGCAAGCGCCTGTGCCAGCTGGGAAAAAGGAATTGAACATTGTTTGTAAGGCTGTAGATGATAGCTACAATGTGCAACCAGACTCGGTGGCCCCAATCTGGAACCTGCGAGGTGTGCTCAGCAATGCCTGGCACCGTGTCCACGTCCGTGTCACCCCATGAAAAGGTGAAGTGGAATTACCTACTCCCAGAATCATTTTCTCAACCCCTTCCATAACCATCCTTTTCCCTCATTACCACAGAAAAACCTTGCCTTTCATCATCACTTCTTGGATCACAACCTTGTACTATGCCTTCCTAAACCACACATAGATAACATGCATTGCACATTTCCAAGCAGGCATCAGCTCTCCTTTGACACTATGTTACATAACTCCTATTGTGCCCCTTGTTGAGAGCTGTTGGGGCTAGAAGGGGGGGAAATTCTGTAAACAAGCACTCTTCCTACCCAACCTCCACTGCTAATGTATACCACCACTTTATTCTACTCTTCTTGGGAGTTTTCAGAGAATGTGGATACATGTGAGAAAAGTGTACATGCAACTTTCTACTTTCTACTTTCCACTTTCTGGGTTGCCAGGGAGGCAATCCTGGTGAAATCCTACCCCTTTATAGTTCCACTTTTCTGAATACATCAATAAAGTGTTTTAAGTCTACAACTGAAGAAATGATTATGACTTGGGACTTCTTGAGGCCGGAGCGTCAGCATGTTGCAGGAGGGAGGTGCGCTGGTACTCGGATGTGTAGTGAGATAATCCAAAACAAGGTGGGGGGGGAGGAGAGAAGGGAAGCTGGTGCAGGGACGTCAAGAAGTGGGACTTCCTTCTCTGCGGTCAGCCGGCTTCTGTAGCGTTGCTTAGGTGACTGACCTCAGAATACCTCCAAGAGAGTTTTTAAAAATTGACATTATTAAGCTCCTCCCCGCCCCTCCCCATTCCTACACTTGGAAGGAAAGGCAAAGAATGCTGAGGTTAAAAACAGTATTCTCTTAGTAGGGGCGGGGCAAAATTTGGCACTAGGGGCAGATATGCCAGGGCACGAGGGGGGTGTCCAATGTGCGCCCAGTTGGCAAACCAGATGCAGATGAAGGGGCATGACCGCGCCTCTCCGACTTGAATCTCGGTGCTCGGCTACTCTCCCCTAGCTCTTCTCTCTTTTCCCCAGCAGTCTCCCCGGCTTAGGGACGCTCGGTGTTCGGCCACGCCGCCTGTCGCCTAGTAGTGGGACCGGAAGTTGTTCGGGGGAGGGGGGACGGCTGTGATGGGGGGGGTTGGTGGGGGGGGGGGCCGGTCCCTTCTCAGGTGAAGCCGCTGATGGAGATGGACCCGCCGCCGCCGCTGAGCGCCCGGGTCCCGGGTCCGGCCCGGTTGCCGCCGCCTTAGTGACCCCACTCCCCCCGCACTGGGCCGCCCGGGCCAGAGTGGGGGACCCCTGCGGCCCCGCCCCCCTCTTCCCCAATACCGTCCCCTCTCCCACACCCCCCCTAGCCTGCGCGCGCGCGGAGCTGCCTCAGGTGAGTAAGGGGCGGGGCTTGGGCGACGTGCTGGGGGCGGGGTCTCTGTCACCGGGGGCGGGGCCTGAGGGGCTTGGGCGAGAAGCGAGGGGAGACTGGGGCGGGGGGCTGGCGGGAAGAGGGTATATAGCTTCCTGGGCTGCGGCTCAAGGGGAGGAAGCTGGCCCGGGTGCTGGGGGAGGTTGGCGCGAGGCTTAAGGTTTAGGGGAAGGTAACTGGAGAGTCAAGGGGTCCTAAAAAGGCGGGAGATGGGCCAAAGCAGAGGACGGAGGACAGCCAGGAGCTGGGTGCGCGAGGCACCTCGGTGGAGTATGGCTGGGGTAGAACAGAGAAAGAGTGGAGAAAGAAGCAGAGGGGTACCTGGGCAAAAATGCAAGGGACTCGGGGTTTTGTCGAGAAGGTTAGAGAGAAGGACATAGGCCTAGGTGAGGAGATCTGGGAGGCAATGGAAACGTGGTAGAGAGGAAACTTAGAGTGGAAGTGGAAAGTGCTGTCGAGGGTACCATGTAGGGTGAAAAGTCTATGGAACCCGAGAAGCAGGTTCCGTCCTGGGAAGGGAGAGATTCACTGCGTATGAGTCCTAAGAAAGAACTGTAACAGAGGAAGCCCTGGGACTGACAACTCTAGGGAGACACAGACTTGGGAAGTGGTTATATGCTAAAAGAGGCCTCCATGTACCTCCTCACACAGTCCCATCCCCAGTTATTTTCTTAGCCCTTGTCTGCTAGAGTTGTAGATCCTCAACTTTGGAAATTTCTGTTTGATGTCTATGCTTTAAAAAAATATATACATATATATATTTTTGTAATTGGTCCTGCCTGGAGACAGTTGGGAGTTTAATGAAACACAGACCTTTAGATATGAGATGTTGAGGAAATAAGGTACCCCATTTCTCTCTCCAAGATAAGAATTTACTAACTCTGCTTCCAGGAAGGTCTGATGCATTATCAACTGAAATGTGTCAAGTTTTGCACACCTTCTTTCACTTCAGTCCCTCCTCCCATAAACAAAACTGTCTACTATTTTGGCTCTTACAGATCCCCCACTGACATGTTTCATAGCTCCACCTGTGTCCTAGTCTACCTCTCCTGAGCCCTCAAAGCGTCAGTCATGAGCTGCAAAAGCTCCTGGCTTGCTCACATGTCAGCTCTAGGCCTTCCATCATCATGGCCAAGCAGAAGACTGTTGAGGCCTGTTGTTTCCCCCTTACTGCTACTTATGCACTTTACCTGTGTGAAGGTACATGTTTATATTCTTAGGAAGCATTAAAAAACAGTATTTCCACTTAAGATAACTCAGATTCTGAGGATAAAATCAGGACAAGGACAAATCAAACAATCTTTGAAAATGTAGCTTCTTATTTGGTAGGAGTATGTGAGAATGCCTAACTGGGAATCCCACATCTCCTCATGGGTCTGTCAGTAGGTCAGTGAATCTTGCTTTGTCGTGTTGGGGGATTTCAGCCTTCCTTACAACCACCTAAAGCCGGAGAATCTGGACAACTCCCTGGGTCATGAGACTAGTCAGAAGAGTGGCTCATGAGATAAAAATAAAGTCTTGAAAGAAGAAAATAGTGTTGCATTGGGAAACAGGATAGTTCTCACCAGAGTTTCTGGGGGTGGGTCCCAGGGTGGTGGGAGCTGCCCTCAGTTTGGCAGGTTGAGAATTATGTCTTGCCCTAGTCAACAGATGCTGATGTCTCAAGCACAAAATATAATGTCTTTCTTACCCACCAAGTGCAGTTAGTTAGTTCAATTGTAGCTCCTGGGAAATCCCCCTTCTCTTAGTAGGTTAAGGGTAGAGCACATTTTGGGACTTGGCTCAGAAAGAAGTCCTGACTTTTTTCTAGTGAAAATGCAACTGAACATTTCTTCTTTATTTTATCTTAGTTTAAATCTGCAACTTGTACTTCCCAGCATGGGAGGAACATTATCCCACCTTTTACCTCCTACTAACATCCACAAAGGAATTATTTTCTCCCAAACTGGCCATCTTTCTTCCCTCAACATACACACAAAATAACCAAGGAAAAAATTAAGATAAGTTATTGTTGGGCCAGTATTTCTAGGCTCCTTTTACTCTAGTGGGACAAATAAGAATGTGGAGCCCTGTGGGTATAGACAATGCTATAAGCAGAGGGACTCCCTCTTTTTGTTGGTCTCTTGACCCTGCCAGAAGATTGATTTCTAAGCTGTTTGATTTGCCTCCTCTTCTCAAAAGAATTGTGGATTCTGTATTGGGAACGGGGAGACAGTTTCAAGGTTTATCTGACAAAAGCATCTAAGAAAGGATAGTGCTGATATGAATGGCCTGTCCCTTCCCACCCCACCAATGGGAATAGCATTAACCTTACAGACTCTGCTGGAATACATATGCTGGTGTAATCCTTAGGTCAAGGAGTCCTGTTTCTACCTTAAAGAGACCTAATGAGCATCTAGGTTGGCAATTTCCTCAGGCTCAGATTCTCTAAAAAGAGACATGAGAGGGAGAGGATTATTTCTCTTACCATCCACAAACCTGTGTTTCTAGTTCAAGGGTTTACGTCTCTAAGATGCAGACCCCCAAACTGTTCAACACCCAAGAAAGAAGGTAAGCATGGTGACCCCAAACCTTCCCACTGTGGCAAGATTTAACCTTGTACTATAATGGAAAAAGACTGGTTACCAGCCTGGTAACCTGGGTTCTATTTGTCTTAATTCTGTCACTAACCAGATGGGTAACTCAGCTTAATTTCTTCTTCTGTTAAAAACCAAGAGATTGGATGGGGTGCCTGGGTGGCTCAGAGGGTTAAGCCTCTGCCTTCAGCTCAGGTCATGGTCTCTGGGTCCTGGGATCGACCTGCATTGGGCTCTCTGCTCAACAGGGAGCCTGCTTCCCCCCACCCCACCTGCCTCTCTGCCTACTTGTGATCTCTCTCTCTGTGTGTCAAGTAAGTAAAAATAAAATCTTTAAAAAAACAAACAAGAGATTGGAGATCATCTCTCAGCTCCATTCTAGCTCCAAGATTCCCCAGGTCCTACAACATTCCTGCCCCGGCCCTCCACATGAAGAGAGGCTTACTAAATTGGATTGTCATGGCAAGATTCTGTTAGTGGAGGAGCCCAAAAACATCTTTCTGGTCCAAACAACAGTGAACCCTTTTGAACAGCATGCGTTAGAGACTTCCAGTCAGGACTGCCACCAAAGGAAATGGTTTCTGTCTCTTGCACCTTTTTGCTACCCTACCCCAATCAGAATAGTTCATTGAGAATTCCATGTAATTTCAAACCTCACTTGATAGATAGAGCTAACTTTGTTTGGGGGCATCTTTGGCTTCAAAACTAATTATTATAAAATTCAAATTGAACTCTGCTGCCCTACTTCCCTCACCCCTGCCCAAACATACAGCTGAATAGCAGTGACTTTGTGGGGCCTTTCTATAAACACAGAGCTCAAATACTCAAGGGTATATCTGAAAAACCCAGAGAGTATTATCTCATGTACATCATACCTAGTGATTTAAACTGTTTAGTTTGGCCCTTTCCTTAGTTCCTTAAGTCCTAAGATGAGACATGGGAGGGGTAAAATTGTTTCTCCTCCCACCCATAAACCTTAGCCTTCTCTCTCTCCCACAGTCTACATGGGGAGGACAGGGAAGCACAAAGGATAAGAGAAAAGATGCATCCATCTGAGATCTAAAAGGAGACAATGAGATGATATTTTCTCACTGTCCAGGTGTTGTGTTTTCACCTCCTACCCCTTCTTATTTTAGAGACTGGCCATTCCTAGGATGACCTGAGAATTCATCCCCTTAGCCCTGCTCCCCAAGCACTTGGATAATGAAGTCGAGCTGTCTTCATCACTATTATATTATACATAGAAGGTCAACGTCTATAGCCTGGTGAAAAAATGAGTCAGATCTTTCTGCTGTAAAGACAGACACATGAGCTGAGAAAAGGTTGGTGGGTTTCCTTCAGAGGGCACTAGGTTGACCCTAAAGATCATTTCAGAGCTGCAGACTGCTGGACGTCAAGGTCTGTTTCCTGGAAAGGGGCAGGTTGTCAGTCAGGCTGCTGACAATGCCTCATGCCACCTCCTCCCTCAATCATTTACCTCTTTCCCCTCCCCAGTTATGCCGAGCTCTGAAACACAGCCCTGGCTGCCAAGAGACTCCAGTACGTTTTCATGTTGATTTCATTCAGTTCACAAAGGTAGAGACAAGAGAGGATGATGCTGTGGGTTTGGTTTACTTGTAGTACCTGAACTGCTGACTCCCAGGCAGGTAGAAAAGTTCTGTCTTGTTAATAATCACTGCACTCCACTTCAGGTCCCAGGTCCTAAGGGAGACTAGAGAAAAGATGTCTGCTTCTCCCTGCTGTAGTTCGGGAACAATAACCAAAAGGATGGCACAGATCCTTGCCGCTCTTTCCACTTCCACTCTCTTTCCCAACAAGATCTTCCTTGCTACCTTTCTACCCACTAGAGCACATGGAGTGTATTTTAAATTCCAATTGTGGAGTGTCACTGGATCAAGCAGGATTCTTTAGAGGATTTGAAGAGACTTAAATACTTGTGATGTCCATCTTATTTTAGGCGTTCAGAGCCACTACATAGAGAGTACTTGACTTTCTGACATTTTTGTCACCTAATAGTGAAAGCGGTAGGGATATTTTTGTGGAGATAGGAAGTTGGGGGCAGGGGTAGCCGATGCGTGACCTGCCCTTAGAAGTCAGACCTTGGATTGTTCGTGACATGTTGCTTGTCAGGAAGTGTGGTGGGAAATCATCTGTCTAGAAGGAACGTCCATTCCTGCCCTTTCCTGTTCAGACACAATATTGTGCTGATGGGAGAAAGTCAGGGCCGTAGAGGATTCTTTTTTTTTTTTTTTTGAGGACTCTTGTTACAGTGCCAAGTGGATTCAAAAGAACAGGGAAGAAAATCTTTGTCTCCAGAGGTTACAATGACCAACCTTTCCTCCCTGCTCACAGAGACACTTCCTTTTGAATTGGGAAACTAGGTATTTCTAGTTGCTTTGTATTCAGCTCGCTGAACTGAATTTACAGTACATATGTGCCTACCTCCATCGCTGAATGATGTCTAGGTTGCTATAAAGCCAATTTCTTTCCAAGATCTTTGAGCCAAACCTGTCTAACTTCTCTCTTTTTATACCTCCTCCCCACCGCGGTATGTCTCCAATTGGCTTTGCCTAATTTGACCCAGTTCCTCTAAGGAGACACTAAGATCTGCCTGCCTGGCCAGGCAGGGGAGGAGGTACTTTGAGGGGCGGGGAGTGGGAAGGTTGGGAGGGACGTGCTGCCTGGAGACTTGAACAAACAGTGAAGTACGTCTACTGATTTGCTCCTGGCTCTCAGAATACCAGGATTGGGAACAGCAGAATCTCCGTCCGCTCTCACTTCCAGGGTTACCAACTTGGCATGAGGACCTGCTAGAGGCAGCCAAACACTGATTTTGCCCAAGATGTGTCATGGAGCACCTGTTAAGAGCAATTAAGAAGCAGAAGAGCTCAGTTTACTGCTAGGAACAAAGTCCAACTCAGAAAACAACTCCTTCATACCCTTCTGGAAATTGTTTTGGGACCATTTGGGCAGGTGTCCAAGAATGAGATGCACTTCCTGAGCCAGTGCTCGCTGAATGCTCTGCTTCAACTGTTTTGCCTACCTAGTGCTTATCTAGCCCCTGGTTCGTTTGTGTTCTCTCTCTCTGACACACAGACACACACACACATCACACACATTATATTACATTAGCATATTTCTCCCCTTAGAGCCTGCTCAACTTGTTCTTCTTTTTAAGTAACAGACCTCACTCCCACAGGGGTCACACCAAAGGAAGAGATGCCTTAATTGATGTTAGAAGCAGGGAAAAGCAAGAAGATCCATGACTTTTGAAAGGAAGCAAGATGGTTTAATGGGAAGAGCACAGCTCAGAGCAGTGGGAGACCTGTGTTCTTCTTCCAGTCTCGCCATGAGCCCAGAGACAATTCACTTAACCTCTCAGAGCCTCAGTTTCTCCAAGAGAAAATGGAGGAAATCTCGCTCATTCTTGCTTCTCCTGCATGGAGAATGGGGAGGAAGGAAGGGAAGTCACATGTGGCATCTTAGCTTTGCAGTTTTGAAAAATCCCAAAGGGCAATTATGGAGCTAATGATTCGGAAATGAAAGGGGCCCCATGAGTACCAGACCGCCCTTCCTCATTCTTTGAATCTCTGCCCACCACAAGTTCTATGGCTAGTTCCAGAGGGTATGGGTTTGCTAATCACTATGGATTTGGGGTCTTCTAATCATTACCCCTAAGGGAACCTTCAAGGAACTACTCATTATTGTGGCATGCTCTAGCAGTCTGATCCCAAAACTCAGTCCATCCCAGGGAGGATGTGAAGAAAAGAAGAGCTGAAAATAAACTTAGATAATATTTTCTTCCACACCCGGGCTTCCCAGGGTGAGACGAGGATTCTCTAATGAGATCTAAGACACAGCTGCTTTGTGAAGCGAAGGAAACCCCATGTTTCGGGTTTTCTCTTGAGACTTTTCAGAAGAGTATGATGTCTCTCAGCACCCAAATGACCTGGGGGAGAGGGGCAAGAGGATAATAGATACTTTTCCCCTGTGCATCCCCCAGAATCCTCCACCCTTGCCTCTAACAGTATAGTATTACAAGCAAAAGATTTTCATCCATCTGCCTGAGAGAGATCTTTGAAGAGACCAGGAATCCTGATGGCAGCTCAGGCTGTTCCCTTGCCCCACTCTCATGCCCCCAAATCTGCCCTGGACTATTTATTTTTTATTAGATGACTGGTGAAATCAATTTTGGAGGTATGTAAATTTCCACCAAAGAGATTTTTTTTTTCCTCCTCCCACAGGCTCCTAAGGAGATAATTCATTGGAACAAATTATCACTTTTAATTGTTCTCAGTTCTTGAATTGTTTAATACTCTACTGCCAATTACTGCTCACTTCTCTTAAATAGACTAACCTGCATTTTAAATTCACTCTTCCCCCTTTAAAAAAAAAAATAAACATAGCGAAGTAATTGACAAGAAGGTGGGGAAAAGCCACTTAAAGTTTTAATTTATTAGACCTTCAGTGGAGGACTCCTCGCTAAACCTGAGGTGGGTTGCTCTCCATCTTCTACTTTCCTGTCCCCCTCCCTCCTGTACACACCCCAAAAAAGAATCCCTTGAGACAGAATCCAGCTTCTTCCCCTTGTTACTACCCTATTCTTAAGGTATAGAGCTTCTGTGGGGCTGGTTTTTTTGCCTCCAGAAGGCTGGGCTGTAACCTGTCTCCTTTCCCACAGCGTCAGCTCCACCTACAGGAGGAGGGTCTACTCTCCAAACAACACAACTGGGACCACTCTGGAGTAAGACAGTGTTTCCACTGCAGAGGCTGGGGAAGCCTGCAGAAGTTGTAGGTTGGAGTTTGTAAGTCGGCGTACACTGTCTTTCTCATCAGGACCAAGTAGGAGGTTTTTGTTCTTTAGGCTAGGGTTGGAGCAAACTTGCTAATTCCAGAATGTTAGAGAGAAACCTCCTCCCTTCCCAGATCTGGCTTCTAATCACAGCTATTTTCTCTTCCAGCAGACTCTAAGATGGACATAGAAGACTGCAATGGCCGCTCCTATATGTCTGGTATGCCCTCTTGTGCACTGTGTTTGTAAGGGGCTGGGAGCGGCCACTCGCCTGTGGAGCAGAGCGGAGTCCAACCAGCCTAGCACAGGACCTCAGGTGCCCCGGTCACAGAGCTGCCAGTCACGCTTGGTAGTGCTTGGTAGCATGAGTCTATTTTGGTCATTTTATATTCCCTAAATAGAGATTCTCTTCCCAGACTTCTTGGGGGATAAGGGAAGGGGAACGGAACAAGAGGGAAATACAAGTGGGGACTGTGAGGCATAATCTGAGAGGAATGATTTAAAGCAAAGAGATAGAAGGAAGATGTAGGTCCTTCTCCTATACTCTGAGGTCACCAGCCCATCACGATACTCTGTCCCAGCCAGGTGGAGAGTGGGGCAGGGTTTCAAACCTCCAAGGCCTGTAGGGGCCAGGTGGGTATGTAAATGAGTGAACGAGGAGAGGGAATGCGGGGGACTGTCAGAACACATATCCTACTTCAAGAAGCAAAAGCTCCTCGGTGTGCACCAGTCACAGTTGTGCCAGAATGTGTATCCAGTGTGGCCAAAACTTGCAATTTTTCAAGAGAAGTCAGGAATCCAGATTTTATGTGAAGTGTCTCCATTTTAGACTAAGGACTCAATATTTTCAAAAATGTTCCAAAGAGCAAGCCAAACTTGTCTATGGGCTGAATTCAGCCAGTGGGCCAACAACATAGAGCTTTTGAAAAAAGATATAGAGCCCAACTCTTATTTCTCCCAGTCCTTTCCCATGGTCCTAACATGCTGTGTGGCTTTATATACCTGCCAGATACTCTTACTGAGGCAGAAGAGATCACTGCTCGTATGAATGGCTTTTAGAGATAGGAAAGTAATTGGGGTCTTCTCAGAGTTTAACAAGGTGAAAAGAAATGAGGACCTTTATCGGGCTCTCTCTCTGACAGTGCAGAGAAGGGCCGAAAACAGAGCTTGTCTCTAAGACGGAAGGAGTCATTTTTTGGAGCATTAGAACGTCAGGGCAAGAAATGATCATAAAAGGTAAGGGAAGCCAGAATTAGGTTTTGACATGATGAGGATGCCCGTCAGAGATCCAAGCACCGCTGTAGAAATGACCTATAGCTTTTTTTTTTTTTTTTTTTTTTTTACCCTGAAGTGGGACCAATAGAATTATGGGCATGTTCAAAGGATGATAGCAAGATGGGTCAGACACACATAGCAGAGTCATTGGGAACACCTGGGTAATGTAAGGTAAGACACTGACTCTGACCCCTTTCTCATTTAAGGAGGGAAGGAGTTGGAATGGGTAAAGGCATTTGATATCTGCTACATGCTGGTCCGAGTGACAGGGATCAAGTAGACTAAGGTAACTGAAAAAGATCTATTGGAACAAAAGTCATGGCCCTTCTGAGGAATCAGCCAGTCCTTCTCTGTCCCGCTCAGTTAAGCCTACTCAGAAAATCACTACTGAGCAACAGCCACCCCCCAGACCTTGTTTTATTGCTGGGGAACGGGTAGACAGATAAATACCAGTCCCTTTCCTAACTTAGGTAAATGAGAAACTGAGAACGTGGCTGGGGAAATATCCCAAGCAGCTCTGTCTCTGGAGAATGTGGATTAGAGGAAAACCTCTTAGGGTGTTTGCTTCACGTGCTATGAAACCAAATTGTCCCTGCTTTCAGCAGATTGACATCTCCGAGGTAAGGGAAGCCTCCACACAGGATGGTTTTTGGAATGAAGGGGGAGGCCAGAAACCCCTCACCTGTGTTTTGAGAATTCTAGATGCCAGCAACTACCCTAGAGAATGGGAAAAGGGAAAGCCAAGGGAGGGCTAACATTAGTTCTGAAGAGTAGCCCCTGCAGGGCTGGGCATGGCTGAGACAGTCCACGTGAGGGGCATCTGAGAGCCCAGCACTGACCCATCTCTCCTGGGCCAGTATGCAAGCAGTGGGAAAGCCTGTTGTGTGCACCCCTCTTAAAATACGGCCCTTGAAGATCATCACAGCTCTTCTGTCTCCTCACCTGGCCACGCGATGAAGGGGGTATCTCTCCTGTTCTTCAAAGAGACTTTCCCACCTCACAGAACCCAGTTCAGAAAATCCATCCTCTCTCCCCTTGTCTCTTTCTAAAGGGGCAGGTCCCTCCCTCCCGGGGTCTTGAGAGTCCATTAACTTACCACACAGATTCTCTCCCCACCTCCATTCCCTATCTTTCAGGGGAAACTGAGTTGCTCAAACCCAGCTCATGCAATTAATTGACTGAGCAGTGCTTGTCCCAAGTTTTCTGGGACTCTGAAATGTTTAAGGGAACCTTAGAAAGGGACCCAGGGGTAGGCAGCCCAAAGTTTCACGGCCCCTCCCACCCCCAAATTCTTGGAATCAGAAAATCTAGTCTCCAAAGTAGGTCAGCACGTCAGTGAGCAGCTCCTCTGGAAGGGAAGGGAGCAGAGGCCTTGTCTTGATAGAAGGCGGATTCATCCAGGGCTGTCGGCTGCTGGGCCCCAGGGGCACTGGAAGGGAGGCGAGCTGCGGAGGTGGGGAGACTATACCAGGATTTTGCCGGGATCTGAAAAGCCTCAGGGCCACAGAGCAACACTAGCCTGAGACCAGACTGCTGGGTCTTCTCGCCACTGGGAAGGAGGGGGCTATCAATCCCCAGATCTGGAAATCGACCTTTCTCCTGGAGGAGGAGGGAAAGGAGGGAATCTGAGTGCCTGAGTTTCGTGGGGGAGGGGCTTTCTGCCGATTTGAGAGCCTTGAGGCTGCCCCATGTCCTGGGCCCCATGACCTCTGGGGCCTTGGCTTCCCCGGCTGGCAGAGGATTGGGCCTTCCCTGGGGGCCCCCCTTTCTCCCTCCCACCTCGAGGGCCCATCCATCTCTCTCTCTCACACACACACACACTCTTGCCTCTCTCAGGCATTTGTTGTGCAGTTCCTCTTTGTCTGCTGGGCATGAGGGCAACGGCATCTGGCTCCCCCTCCCTGTGCACACCCCCCACCCCCACCCCTTACTGGCTTGGGAAAGGGATGCTGTAGCCTAGCATCCCCCCCAACCAGACACACATATACATTCTCTCCAGCCCCCTCCCCAAACACATCCAAGCGTGCGCTCGCTTGCGCTCTCCCTCTCTCCCTCTCCCTCTCTCTCTCTCCCTCTCTCTCTCATACACACACACACACACACTCTCTCTCTCTCTCTCTCTCTCTCTCACGCACACACACACACACACCCTGGGCTGAGCTCTTCTTGCTGGCTGCAGCCGTGGGCCCCTGCTCACCGTGCCGCTGCCTGCGAAATGACGGCGGTTCCCCTCACTTCCAGGAATCCACGCTTCCTGGAAGGTGAGTGGCTGGGCTCACCCCTGCCTGCCACCGAGACGCAGACATGCACACACCACCCGCACTCCCTCGCCGTTTCCAAGGCGGCGGCCGCGTTCGCACCCCAGGGTCTCACCGGCAAGGGAAGGATAATGTAAGTTCAGGCAGAAGGTGGCTAGTGGAGGGGGAAGGGGGGGTTGCCGGGGCTAGGGAGCCAATTCAGTAACAACTCCCAAGCCTGAGGAGAGGGAGAGGATGGGGGCTGTGTGTGTGTGTGTGTGTGTGTGTGTGTGTGTGTGTGTGTGTGTGGCGGGGGAGGGGGCGTTCCTCCCTATACTTGCGGAGGATGGGAAGGGTGTTTGGTGTTGCTAAGCAAAGACTGCGACTTGGACAGTGGGAGCTTGTGGTGACATCTTGATTAGGCCTTGGGGACAGATGTAGAGCTGCCCGGGGTGAAATGCCGAGACAGGCCTGGGTGGGAATGGGTAATAGAATCAAGGTAAAGAGGAGCCTTGGCAGCGGACGCCTCACCCTGGAAGAGAGATCTGAGGGGCCTCAGCCTCTTCCCCACAATAGAGCTGGGGATGGGCGTCTTTCTTCGCTCCTGGACCCACTGTTCCCTGCTAGCAGGTTAGCATCCTGCCACCCCGGAGCCCATGGTCAAGAAAGGGAAAGCAGTTAGGATGAGAGCAGAGAAGTGTGGAGGTTCTCGGACCTCATGGCTGTTCCCTGGAGGCAGCCACTCTTTGAAGGGATTGAGGAAGGGCAGCAGGAGTGGAGGGCTAGTCTCCTTTAGCATATGAAACACATTTAGCTTGTGGGACATTGCCCTGTTTCCTCTCTCTCCCTCCTGCTTTTCTGCCCTGGACCCACCTCCTTGTTCCTCTGATGTCAACCTCATGATTTGGCTTTACCCTCTGGGGGTTCAGCCAATCTATGATGACTTTGACCAAGAAAATTTCTCTGAGACCCGAGAGTGGCCTTAATTCTTGGCTCTGACAGTCTGGGATTTCTTGGGAGTCCCAGGCATTTGAAGTTCCCTCCCTGGGGTTTCTGGGACTGACAGAGGAACTGCTGAACTTCCTAAATCGGTCTCTAAGCCCCTTTACCCTCCGGCTAGAACTCAAAATCCCTGGGTCCCCATAAAGACTTTCTGGCCCCTGAAACAGATTCATTTTTATGTATTAGCCCCATAAAAGCAGACTTGAGCCTATTTTCCCTAGGGAGGGCAATGGCATCAAAGAGCCTCTCGAACTACTAGTGTGGTTCTCGAGGCACCTGCTCTTCCTCCTGTTCCCAGGCCTTAATAACCAAAAGCACAAAGGATGTTTTCCTCTTAATGCTCCTAAATATCCCTTTAAGCATATTTTCCTCATGTATCAAGCCTCCGGCTCCAAGAGGCGGTCTCAGCCTAGTAGGCTGGGACTAGAGATGGATTTCTAGCAAGTTCATTCATTGTTTTAGGGGCAGGGACTCAGCACCAGGGCCCAGAGCCCAGTTCTTCCCCTATTACTACCATCAAGTGATTTAGGGCAAGTCAGTACTAACGTCTGAAAAGGAACAAAAAGTTACCCCCTTTTAGCCCCTTTAACTACAGAAAACCCTACCACTTAATTGAAGGACGTATTTTAAAACTAGGTCTGAGTCTACACATCTCAACCCTCAACTCTGAGATGCTTACTTCATGACAGGTGTGTGGTTCTGATTGGGGCAACTTTTCTAGATAACCATGGCTCATCTATAGGCCTCCAGCTGGGACAACTCAGTTTCAAGCTATAAGACATTTTCTATAGCGAGTGAACAAATTTCCTCAGGCTCTGATGGGAAAGAATGGGGGAAGTGGGACTTTTAGAAGAGGATATGAATGGGAAATGGTCCCAAAGTCCTGAGTGGTTGTTTTCTTCCCACTGACCAAAGCTGGAGAGGGATCCCTCAGGAGGGTGTGTTCCGGATTTCTTGCCTCAGGCCCAAGACTCCAACCATTTTATAATGGAATCTTTATTTTGTGAAAGTAAGTATGTGCGTAGCTGGGAAATTGGGAAAAGTACTAATAGGTGGACTTTAGGGATGACTTTTAGGGCTCGTGTCTCTCTCTCTTTCTCTCTTCCATGTTTAGGCTGTGTGTTCACATCCATGCATGTTCACGTTAGCAGATAATGTAGAAGGCTATGGGTGTGTTTGCCCCTGTAGGTATGTTCTTTTTATATGTATCTACATCTGTGATATGTGTCTGTGTCTATGTGTGTGTTTACCTATATGTGTTTTATTTCACCTATAAATTTGTGCAGAAGATTGTGGGGAGGAGGGATTTTTTTTTAAAGACTTGATTCATATCTCCACGTATGTTAACTAATTTTTTAAAGATACAGACGAAACTCTTAAAACTCATTTTTATAAAGTGGTTTGTCAACACGTTAACAATGAACATAGTGAGAATAAACTCATTATTTTACTGTCAAGGAAACAGCAAGCCGTAAATATGTGACTGGAATCATATCAGATAGGAGGCGTTCTAGAGTAGTCAAATTCACGCTGATTTCAGAAGGTCGAACAGGCCCAACGCTCCTCTGCTAAAAGACAAGTGACTCCCCACTGGCTGTGGAGATGGGCTCAGGACATGGGTGCTTACAGTTTCTGATCTGTCCAGGTTCCACCTCTACCAGCTCTGTGACCTTAGACAAGTAGCACAGCCTCCTTGGTGCCTCAGTTTTCTCATCTGCAACATTAAGTTCGTATTGGCACCTGCTTCATGGTGTCGTTGTGAAGGTGAAATGAGAGAATTCGTATAAAGTGAATAGAACCATGCCTGGCACAGAGTACGCACTCAATAAATGTTAGCGGCTGTCATTATAATTACTATTATTATCATTAGATTCAGGGACCATTCCAGCTGCCCTTCCTGCAGATCCCGAACCTGGTGTTGGGGGCTCCGGAAAGGAACAGTAGGGAAGAACGTCTGTCCTGAAATGCCTCTCTCCTGAGGCCCCCATTTTCCTCTCCACCCTGGCCCGCCCAGCCCCAGCCCTGCTTCCTGTGGACGTCAGGCAGTGATGTTCTTCCCCTCAGGCCTAGATAAAGGTAGGGTGGGCAAGACGCAGCCATTGAGCTCGCAGAAGTCTGCACCGGGCACCGGGGCTGACGAGGGCACAAGGTATGGCGCCAAGCTTACAACGCTGCCTTGTACGTGGCTACAAGATCAATGTTTGTGAAACTTCGTACAATTTTGAAGAGGTGAGGCGACAGACGGTCAAAGGCTCCAGCCGCAGCTTCACCTGTCCTCTTGTTCTCTCCTCCAAGGTAGCGGGGACTCATCTCTGGAGAAGGAGTTCCTCGGGGCCCCAGTGGGGCCCTCGGTGAGCACCCCCAACAGCCAGCACTCTTCTCCCAGCCGCTCACTCAGTGGTAAGTGCGACTGCCCTGCCCCTGCCCTGGCACTAGGTGCCCCCCACCCCGCCCATCTGTGTTTGGCCCTCAGCTCACCCTCCATGGGCAGCCATTTCCCCTTTGCTGCCTCCCTCTGGTTTTCTGCTTCGAGCCTCTACACATCTACAAGAAGTACGGACCTCAGCATCTAGGGTCTTCCTGACTTCTGAAAGGAGAGTGAACGGTGGCTGCCACACTAGGGTAGAATTAAAAGAGGCCTGGCTGGGATGAAGGCAAAGGCTCCAAAGAGAAATCCTGGAGTTGGAGAAGCAAGTACATAGGAATGGTCACAAGGTAGAGCCAGATAGGAAACAGAGATGAGAGGGATCTCCTTATCACCCACCCCCTCCTGCTCCTGGGCCTCATTCTCCTGCCCGGATAGGTCCCCATGACTGCCTCTTCTTGCTGGCCCTAGATCTGTGACATTCTCTGAATGGTTGGAATAGCCAGGAATGTAGGTCAGAGCTAGAGCCAAGGCTTTCTCTTCAGTGGCTCCTCCCTCCTTCATCCCCCTCTCCAGATTTTAATGGAGGGGTTCTATCTTATGGGGAGGGAAGTTGATGTGAGCCATCTCTGTCTTCCAGTTTTGCTCTCTCTTTAGCCTGCCATCTCTTTGGTCTTCCTAAGACCATTTTCCCGCCACTGTTACTTGCTGGCTTCCTGCCCAGGGCCAAGCCCGACATCTTTCTTAATGATAAGAGAATGGAGAAAAAGACTCCCCTTAGCCTCCTCCTCTCCCCAGTGGAACAGAAGACCTCCCATGTGCCCCAACTTTTTTCTCTTGGAGCCTATTTGCCTCGGCGCTGGGACGGGAGGAAAAGGTTATTGCAGGTCCCAGCAGGACCACCATATCACCACCCGGGAGACTTCGGGTGTTGGCCTCTTTTAAAGCCTGTATGTCTCAGGGCTGGGAGAGGGCCTGCTGGACATCAGGAGGACCATTCTGGTTTGCGGGCAGGTTCCCCCCTTTGCCTGTTTCTGTCCTAAACACCATCCCACCCTCCAGCCAACTCCATCAAGGTGGAGATGTACAGCGATGAGGAGTCAAGCAGACTGCTGGGGCCAGATGAGCGGCTCCTAGAAAAGGATGACAGTGTGATCGTGGAAGACTCGTTGTCAGAGCCCCTGGGCTACTGTGATGGAAGTGGGCCAGAGCCTCACTCCCCTGGGGGCATCCGGCTGCCCAACGGCAAGCTCAAATGCGACGTCTGCGGCATGGTCTGTATTGGACCCAATGTGCTCATGGTGCATAAGCGCAGCCACACGGGTGAGTAAGCCAGGGGGTCCGGAGGAGCTCCCACGCGGGCTGGACAGGCAGAGGCATAGGACACCGTGTCTGCAGTGGGGCAGCCTCAGAAAGGGAAGGGTCTCTCCCAGCACACCTTCCAGCTGATGGAAAAAAGAAGCGATGCCATTTGGATTCCCTCAACACTCATACTTCTCTGTTGCTTTCATCAGCTGTCGTTCGTTATAAAGAAAAGCTGATATTTCTCTCAGGAGGTGAGGGAGATAATGGCGTAGCCTCCAGAAGGGTCCTAGAGTCCAATAGGGACAGGACTCCAGGGTATTATCTGGGCCCTCCGGTGTCGAGATTTAAAGACACAAACAAATAAACAAAAACAAAAAAAGGAAAACAAAAGCCTCGTCTCAGCTTTCTGAGGCTTTGAAGGCTCCCGGGGCACAGTGGGTCTTGTAGGACTCAGTTTTGGGTTCATGGGCTTTTGGCCTGGTGCCCTTTGCCCTACCATTAGTCTCTTCTCCACACCTTCCCAGGGTAAGACTGTTCCTGAGGGAGCTTTAGAACACAGGAATCTTGTATGCGTGCCTCAGCTCTGCCCCTCAGAAATCCTCCTGAGCACCTGCCCTCAGGCAGGGTGGGGCAGAGGGTACAAGAAGAGGTTCAACCTTCTAAACTCCTCTCCCCAGTCCTCAGTGATCTGTTGCTTCTCTTGCAGGTGAAAGGCCGTTCCACTGCAACCAGTGTGGTGCCTCCTTCACCCAGAAGGGGAACCTGCTGCGCCACATCAAGCTGCACTCCGGGGAGAAGCCTTTCAAATGTCCCTTCTGTAACTATGCTTGCCGCCGGCGTGACGCGCTCACCGGCCACCTCCGTACACACTCAGGTCAGTGATCTGTTCGGTGGGAAAGGAGGAGTGGGACCTCAGTACCCCAGGGAAATAGAGCTCAGTGACTTCTCTTGTGTTCAGGGAGTTACAGTGTCTGTCACTGAGGAGGCCAGAGCACCCGCAGAGCAGATAGGGCCCTGCCTCTCTAACCCCTCGTCTGGGCCCCATGGGGAATTTGGGGGACTCTTTGATGAGGTATTTTACATCTGCTACACTCTGTGACTTGGAGCAAAAGGAGCATGGGTGATGTTCTAGGCTCTTAACAGTCACCCGCCCTTTGTTTTTTAAAGTTCATGCTACTGCCAGAGCCATCTGTACCCACCCCCCCCACACTTCTGAGCACCCTTCCTCACATTTCCATGTGCTCGAGGTCCCACGCCCATCACCCATCATCACCTCCCTCCATGATACCAGAGGTCCTGGATCACCACTGTCTGTCTTCTCCTTTACTTCTTACTGGTTCCTAAAAGTATCCATGGGCCTCCAAACTCCAGAGAAAGAAAGGAGGCCTAGGAAAAGCCTCTGTTCCCCATCCCAAGAGGTTGTCCCCTTCCCAGAGGCAAGAGCAAGTCGCCAGAGTGTCTAGAGGTTAGTGTTTGGATCTGTGCCAGGGGACTGGACTATCCAGTTTTCATAGCCGCAGCCAAGACTCTTGGAGTTGACATCTATCTGAATCAGCTGCGCAGACAGTATTTTTGAAGTATCTTACTAAGTTTTAAGCTTGGCCTTGCGAAGAGACCAGGAGTCAAGCTGGTGGGAAGGAAGAGCTCAAGATTGGGAAAAGACAGGAGGAAGGGCAGAGGGGAAAAAATTAGTAGGATCTGTCCTTGGCAACTTTCCTTGCTACTTTTCTCTTTTCCTAAACTCTCTTGGGCCAGGATTTCAAGGGATAGAGTAATCACCTCAGCAGGCTTTCCCCAGCCACCTACCTTGTTCTAGGTTCTCTCACCTTGGAGCAGGCTTTTTGATCTATAAAGCTTTTCGCTTGTCTCCTTGTGTGATCCTCATAACAATTCCAAGGTACATGGTATTATCCTCACTTTGCTGACAAGAAAACTAAAGGTCTGGGGGAGAAAGAAAAAAAAATTGCTAGTCACAGAGCTATTCTGCAGCCTTCCTGGACCTCATTAAGGTTCTGTGCCACAGAATCATACTCCTGTTCCTTAGAAAAGGGGTGGCCTCCCCTACTGGTTTGGAACAAGGATGGCTTGATCCCAAGAATTGCTGAAACAAAAACAAGGCCCCCAGGATAAATTTTGGATGTTGTTCTGTAGGATATTATTAGGAATAGAATTAGATACAGATATCCCACTAGGTTCCATCTCTATGAGATGCTTTCTATGTAACCCACACTATAAGAAAAAAAAGGGTCCCTCTCCCAGATGTTAAACCATTTCCCCAAAAGTCTTAGGTGGACAGGGACCATGGCATTCACCTCATCCCCCAAAGACTAGGTTTTACAGAGTAAGGTCAAAATGGCATGGATAGATTGAATCAAGGCCTGGTTTAGGTGTGTGCATATAGGGTGGAGGTAATTACCAGCCTCCTGGAGACACCTCCTGCCTCCCTGCTTAATAGTAGCAATATATGTAAAATGATATTTTTTTATTTATTTGTCAGAGAGAGAACATAAGCAGGGGGAAAAGCAGGTGGAGGGAAAAGCATGCTCCCTGCTGAGCAAGGAGCATGATGTGGGGCTCAATCCCAGGACCCTGGGATCATGACCCGAGCCAAAGGTAGATGCCTAACCAACTGAGCCACCCAGATGCCCCAAGATAGTAAAACAAAATACACAATACCTTGTTCTCTCACTTTTCTCTCTCCTCTCACAAATATTACCTCTCAAAAGTTGTCTTTAGGGGCACCTGCATGTCTCAGTTGGTTGAGCATCTGACTCTTGATTTTGGCTCAAGTCATGATCTCAGGGGGGTGAGATCGAGCCCCACATTGGGCTTCATGTTCAGTGAGGAGTCTGCTTCCCCTCTTCCTCTCCCCCACTCACTCTCTCTCAAATAAATAAATCTTAAAAAAAAAAAAAAGTGGTTTTTAAAGGAAATATCCATCTCAGTTTTCCCAACTTCTTTTCTTTGGGAGAAACAAAAAAAAAATATTTTTCTTTTTTAAGTAATCCCTACACCCAGCGTGTAGCTCTGAGACCCTGAGATCGAGAGAGATCAAGAGTCTCATACTCGGGATGCCTGGGTGGCTCAGTCGGTTAAGCATCTGCCTTCGGCTCAGGTCATGATCCCGGGTCCCTGGGATCCAGCTTCCTGTAGGGCTCCCTGCTCTGTGGGAGGAGCAGAGGGAGAGGGAGAACCAGACTCCCCACTGAGCAAGGAGCCAGCCGTGGGGCTCATCCCAGGACCCTGAGATCATGCATGACCAGAGCCGAAGGCAGATGCTTAACCAACTGTGCCACCCAGGCGCCCCTAAATAAATAAAATCTTAAAAAAAGAAAAAGTCTCTTGCTCTTCTGACTGAGCCAGCCAGGCACCCCAGAAACTAAATCTTTATAACTTGTTCTTTCTTTTTTTTCTAAAGGTTTTATTTATTTGACAGAGATTGAGAGAGAGAAAGAGCGTGAGCATAAGCAGGCGGAGCGGCAGGCAGAGGGAGAGGGAGAAGCAGACCCCCTGCCAAGCAGGGAGCCTGCCAGGGGTCTCGATCCCAGGACCTCTGGATCATGACCCAAGCTGAAGGCAGCACTTAACCGACTAAGCCACCCTGCCGCTCCTAACTTGTTCTTTATTTTAAAAAAATTTACAAGACCCTCAAAGTTGATATTCTCTTCCTTTTACTCATCTCCTTTATTTCCCTCTCTCTTATTCTTCTTCTCTTCTCAGAATTTCTCTGTCAGTGATGGTTTTTCTGGGGCTCTCTTGGTAGCTCAGTGTAGAGACACAGAAAGAAAAAGAAGCAGTAGAACGAGGCTAGGGGTGGAGTAAAGGTCAGTGAAAACTGCCCCTCCCCACATTGCCAGATCTAAGGGCTCTCATTTCTGTCACCCCAGCCCACCAATTTCCCCCAAACCAAAGCAGATAGGTCGTAAGCAAAAAATCCCCTTGTCTGATAAACAGCACTTGCACCCGCCTGCCACATGGAAAGGTTAAACCGCAGTCTGGGCCCCAGAATCTGAGACCCTAGGGTGGGGCCAGCATGTCTGCCAGGGATGATCCTCTACCAAGTCCCTGACTCCTCCTTCCTGTGAGCAGCAGTTTGGCCGCCATGAGCCCTACTACCCCCCCACGCCCCTGAAGTCCCAAGCTTTAGGCCTCGGGTCCCCTCTCTCTTCCCAGGGCTGTACACTGGACCCCCTTTCCATGTTTGCCGCTGAAGGTAGGGGAGGAAAGACTAGCAGAATTCCCTCGAGCCACACCCCTTCCTCCTCATGTTGGGGTCCATTCACTCCCAGAGGGCCTTGTAGAACCCGGGGCGCCGGGAGGCGTGACCAATGTGGCGTCTCTCCCATCTCCTCCACAGTCTCCTCTCCCACAGTGGGCAAGCCCTACAAGTGTAACTACTGTGGCCGGAGCTACAAACAGCAGAGTACCCTGGAGGAGCACAAAGAGCGGTGCCACAACTACCTACAGAGTCTCAGCACTGAAGCCCAAGCTCTGGTGGGCCAACCAGGTGGGGCTGTCAGCAGGCCTGGGGGGAGGGGAGGGGTGAGTGGAGGGCAGAGCCAGAGGGTGTGCAGAGGGCGTGCAGGGCAAGGATGATTCCAGCCCCCCCCCACCCCTGACAAAGGGATGAGGTCTTTGGAGAAAGGACGGTTCCCTCCTTGGTCTGGGAGCTCTCCAGTTGGTGCAGAGCCCTGTGGTAGGTGCTGCAGGAAGGTCCAGGGGTCAGGGATGTTCTGACCTATGTCCTCAGTCTAAGGGGAGAGAGAGAACACAAGGGAGTATAAAACCAAGGGTCAGGTGCATCTGTAATTGTCCTCCCAATTACCTGAAATGTTGCTAGGATGAGCTCTAGATAAGGGGAAGTGAGTGGAACCCAGTTTTCTAGGTATCGGGGATGCCCTTCCTTGGCTACCGACTGGCTGATTCTCTCCAGGCAAAGGCTGCTGAGCCAGTGCTGCTCCGCTTCAGCTGCTACTACTTGTCCCCACCTCCTTCCCTCTAGGTGACGAGATCCGTGACCTGGAGATGGTGCCAGACTCCATGCTGCACTCATCCTCGGAGCGGCCAACTTTCATTGATCGGCTGGCCAATAGCCTCACCAAACGCAAGCGCTCCACCCCCCAGAAGTTTGTAGGTAAGAGTCCAGCTGGAGAGAAAACATCAGCTTTAAGCCACAGCTCCTCTAAACCTGAGCTCTGGTAGCCATCAAACCAGCTGGGCCTGGAGATTTGATGGAAGGGAAAAAGTGGTCTGGTAGGCTCTGGTGCTCAGAATCCATCCCCAGAACAGAAGGGGCATGAAAAGGAAGAAGGTACCTCGAGAGGGTGTTGAGGGCTCTTGTGGTGGTTGTAAGAGGAGGGCGGTCAGGGAGCTCAGGTTCTCCCAGGTTTTGAGAACAGCGAGGACTTCTGCCTGTGGGATCTGAGACAATGGCCCTGACAGTCAGAGGGAGGAGGTATGAGTATGGGGTCCACCCACCTGGCCTTGAGGTTCGATCTCTAGCTTTATAAAGGGCAATGAAGGAAGTGTTAAAGATCAGCAGGGGGTGGGAACTGAGTCCTTCCCTACAATTATAGCTGGAGTTGGGGAGTGGCCCCACAGAGGTCCTGACCTTGAGGGAAGTGAATGAGGACTGGTAAATAATGTTACAGCCATCCCCAGGGTAAGCAAACAAAGAAGTCATCCTGGGAAAACTCAGGAATTCTCCAAACCCAGCTCTGCTGAGATCCTCTCCTCCACAGGTGAAAAGCAGATGCGCTTCAGCCTCTCAGACATCCCCTACGATGTGAACTCGGGTGGCTACGAGAAGGATGTGGAGTTGGTGGCACATCACGGCCTAGAGCCCGGCTTTGGAGGTTCCCTGGCCTTTGTGGGGGCAGAGCATCTGCGTCCCCTCCGCCTTCCACCTACCAACTGCATCTCGGAACTCACACCCGTCATCAGCTCTGTCTACACCCAGATGCAGCCCCTCCCTGGTCGGCTGGAGCTTCCAGGGTCCCGAGAAGCAGGTGAGGGACCTGAGGACCTGGCTGATGGAGGCCCCCTCCTCTACCGGGCCCGAGGCCCCCTGACTGACCCTGGGGCATCCCCCAGCAATGGCTGCCAGGACTCCACAGATACAGAGAGCAACCACGAAGATCGTGTTGGGGGGGTGGTATCCCTCCCTCAGGGTCCCCCACCCCAGCCACCTCCCACCATTGTGGTGGGCCGGCCCAGTCCTGCCTACGCCAAAGAGGACCCCAAGCCGCAGGAAGGGTTACTGCGGGGCACCCCGGGCCCCTCCAAGGAAGTGCTCCGGGTGGTGGGCGAGAGCGGTGAGCCCGTGAAGGCCTTCAAGTGCGAGCACTGCCGAATCCTCTTTCTGGACCATGTCATGTTCACTATCCACATGGGCTGCCATGGCTTCAGAGACCCTTTCGAGTGTAACATCTGCGGCTACCACAGCCAGGACCGGTACGAATTCTCTTCCCATATTGTCCGGGGGGAGCACAAGGTCGGCTAGCCACCTACCTACCACCCTCCCTTCAGTCCACCACTCCACTGCCTCCCTACAGGAGTCTAGCTCTTTCCCCACTTCATCCTAAGGAGCTTGGCTCCGTAGCCTCCTCCACTGGCTACCAGACTTCACACTTGACCCTGACCCTGACCCCTCCTCGCCTATTCTCTACCCTGACTGACTTAAGCATTGTGATGAAACAGGCCTTTTTGCTTATGTTTCTCCTCTTCCTCTTCTCTCATCCCAGCATAGTCAGAGTTATTTATTGATACAATTTGTGGATTTTTCTTTTGGCTTTTTCTCTTAATTTTGATCAGTCACCTGCCACAGCCCACAGACCGCTCCCACTTTAGGCCTAATTTTTCTTTCTTTGATGCAGCTTTCTCTAACAGCCCTCGGGGTAGGAAGCTCCTCTTAGTCCTAAGAGTTCTGAGCTTCTCCTGTTAAGTCCTCACCTTTTGCATTATCTGATTCCTTCCTTTTGATGCTGATAGCTCCCTCTGGCCCTACCTGAGCTCTGTGGTATTATATCTCCTCTCTGGGACCCTCCCACCTGGTACTCCATACCTCTTGTGCCCTCTCCTGTTAGGCAGCTTGCACTATGCTTCAACAAATGAAGAATTTCCTCATTGGGAAGTGGGAGGGGCTGAAGAAATTCTCCCCAGGCACTGTGGGGCTGAGGGTCCTCTTGACGTTCCCCTAGTAATATGAGTTCCTCAAAGCCCACATTTGGGAATCTCCCTCTGGGATGTGATCTGTCTCTTCTCTCCTCAAACAACCCCCAACACGGCTACTCTCTTCAACCTGCCAGTCTACTCAGTGGTGGTTTTCTCTTCTTGGAATGCCCCAATTTTATATTCTCAGGGGCCAAGGCTAGGTCTGCAATCCTATCTCTGACATGTTGGGAGCCACAGGTGCCTAACTGGGAACCAGGGCATGGGAAGGGGGTGGGTTAAAATTCTTCTCTTTCTCTTCCACCTCTGATCTTCTTCACTCTAGTGACCTTCCTAGGCTCTCAGGGGCTCCTGCCGTCCCTCTCCTATGAGAAACTAGTGGGTTGCTGCCTGATGACAAGGGGGTATCTCAACCCCTCAGTCATGCTGCCTTCTTCTTCTCCCCGCTCTAGGATTCACCCTCATTCCCAGGCTTCTTGGCCCTGTTCTTAGGATCAGTGGCAGGGAGAAAAGGGTGTCTCTTTTCTCTCTTCTAATTGTCAGTATATAACCAAAAATTATCCCAGGACGAGGAAGGGCATTTGCCCCTCACCTCATTCCATTCTTGTCCTGGCAAGAATGGGATGGGCGCAACTGAACCGGGGGTCATCCTCTACTGCCCCCTTCTACACTCAGTTCCCAGATGTAGGGCAGGAGGGGCCTTGCTCCTCCTGGCTACAGCAGAGACCCCTGGCTTTTTGGGTAACCCAGTTAGTGAGAAGGGGGCAGGAGGAGATACGGCTCCACTGTGAGTGGAGTTCTCTACAAGCGTTTTCTGCCCAAGGCCACAGCTATCCCATTCTCTGCTTCCTTGAGATTCAAACCAAAGGCTGTTTTTCTATATTTAAAGAAAAAAAAAAAGAAAGTAAAAACCAAACACAGCACCTCACAAGTTGTAACACTTGGTCCTTCTCTCTCTCTCCTTTTCTCTTCCCTTCCATCTTTCTTTCCATATGTCCTTTCCTTATTGGCTCTTTTGCCTCCTACTTTTCTCACTCCCTATCAGGGATAATTTAGGGGGATGGTGAAGGGTTGGCTAAGGAAAAGACCCTGGGATGGGGGCTCCTAAGGGCTCTAAGAAGAGTCTACCTTACCCTCTATGGGAAGGGAGACCCTAGAAAACCTTTTCTCCCTTCCTTTTCTCCCCCATTATGTAGTCTCCCTAAGAGAACCAGATTGTCAAGGAGGGGCATTGTGGGTTGGTTCCTTCTTGACAATGTAGCAATAAACAGACGCTGCCAAGGGCAGAGGATGGGGGTGGGGGGCTACCTGGAAGGAGAGTAGTCTCTAGAGAAGGGGAGAGGCTTCTCAACAGTACCCCAGGGAACTGGCTCCTTCTTTCAGGATGGCAGCAGAACTGAGATTAATATCTAGGGTTCTCCTCAACTGTTCTGGTTATTGAGCCCCTTCCTGTTAGACCTACCCCTTACCACCTCTTCTGTGTCTGCTGTGTATCTGGTGACACCTCATAAGGACTAGTCCCTTCTGGGGTACCAGAGCCTTAGGGTGCCCCATCCCCTCCCCCAGTCAGCTCTGGCACCTGTAACCTCCTGGAACATGAAGGACTATGCTCTGAGGCTATACTCTGAGCCCATGAGAGCAGAGACTGGAAGGGCAAGACCAGGTGCTAAGGAGGGGAGAGAAGGGCACTCTGTCTCTCTCCAGACCATCACTGCACTTTAACCAGGGTCTTAGGTACAAAATCCTACTTTCCAGAGCCTTCCAGCTCTGGAACCTCAAACATCCTCATGCTCTCTCCCAGCTCCTTTTGCATAAAAAAAAGTAAAGAAAAAGAAAAAAAAAATTGAAACCCACATGGAGAAAAGAGGTGTTTTCCTTTTATACTGATATTCAAGACCAACACCACACAAGAAAATTTCTAAATAGACACTTTTCCAGACCTTCGTTTTTTTGTGTCTGTGTCCAAGCTGCGGATGGGATTTTGTAATACTTTCAGCAGCTTCTTTCCTTGTGTACATAATATATATATATTATATATATTTTTAATCAGAAGTTATGAAGAACAAAAAGAAAAAAAATAAAACACAGAAGCAAGTGCAATACCACCTCTCCTCTCTCTCTCCCAGGGTTTCATTTGTAGCCTATGCTTGGTGTCTCCCTTGGACCTTACCCTTTCACCTTCCCCTCCTCTTCCTTTGGTTCTCCCTCCCCCTTTTTTTAAAGAGTTTTTCTCCTTTCTCAAGGGGAGTTAAACTAGCTTTTGAGACTTATTGCAAAGCATTTTGTATATGTAATATATTGTAAGTAAATATTTGTGTAACGGAGATATACTACTGTAAGTTTTGTACTGTACTGGCTGAAGGTCTGTTATAAATAAACATGAGTAATTTAACAACCTCTCGTTGTTTTTTGCAGACTTTACTGTAATTTTCTGCTGGGAGGGAGGGGGATCTCCTTGCTGCACATTGTACCAACTACTGAATGTTTTGAAGGTGAACAAGTCTAAGACTAAGACAAAGCCAAACAAGAATGCTCACGTTGTTGCTACGGAACAGAATTTTCGACCTACAGTGGAAAGTCGAGATTTTCCTACCAGGAGTCCCTTTAGGATAGAGAAAGCCCAACTTGACTATCCATCCAAAGCAGAGGTTCATCAAACATTTTTTGAGTACTTACTATATGCAAAACATACTATACGCCCAAGGAAATGCAAGTTACAATAACATGAATGATGATAATAATAGGTTCTACCTCTTCTTGAGCATAAGTGCCAAGCACTGTGCCAAGTATTCATGTAATTGTAGAAACCACCTAAAAGTGAGTGATCCACTATTACTAGTGAAGATATAAAAGGCCAAGAGAGAATAAACAACTTATCCGAGACTCATCAACCAGACCATCTTGGGTCTTAATTTTGGGAGATCCCCTTGACACTCTAGTTTTTTCAACTTTGGAGACAACTGGGTGGTTGACTGCCCATGGATAGCACTCCCACTCAAAGCTAAAGACTTTCTGAAGGGTCTTCAAGGTAAATGGAGCTTATATGTAGGAAAGTATATTTCAGTCACAGGCCAGACTCAACTGAGTGGTGAAATCACTTCAGTGGGGCTTGATCAACATTTTTTTTTAAAAGATTTTATTTATTTATTTGACAGAGAGAGAGATCACAAGTAGGCATAGAGGCAGGCAGAGAGGGGAGGAAGCAGGCTCCCTGCGGAGCAGAGAGCCCGACGCAGGGCTCGATCCCCAGACCCTGGGACCATGACCTGAGCCGAAGGCAGAGGCTTTAACCCACTGAGCCACCCAGGCGCCCCTTGGTCAACATTTATTAAAATAAAGCAGGAAATAGAACATATCATTGCACTTTATGCCCTAAGGGCAAGTACTGTTTCCTGAAGTTGTGTTTCAGTTTTGTACGTTTGTGTAGGTACTGAGAACCAGTGTAAAATATATTTCTGCTATGGGTTGGAATGAAAATCGTTAAAGTTACTCTGCCAGGTTATATACCTCCACCCATTTTTTTCTGTTAGGCAGAAGGCAGTATAGCGTAGCGGAGCCACGACACTTCTTGCTAACTCTGTGCTTTTCAGGGGCGCCTGGGTGGCTCAGTGGGTTAAGCCTCTGCCTTTGGCTCAGATCATGATCTCAGGGTACTGGGATCAAGCCCGGAATGGGACAAGCCCGGAATGGGACCAAGCCCGGAATGGGACCAAGCCTCGAACAGAGCTCTCTGCTCAGTGGGGAGTCGGCTTCTGCCTCTCTGCCTGCCTCTCTGCCTACTTGTGGTCTATTTCTCTGTCAAGTAAATAAACACAATCTTAAAAAACAAAAACAAAACAAACAAACAAAAAAACCTCTGTGTTTTTCAGAAATCTCAGATTTTCAATCTGTAAAGGGAGGATAATAATAGTATCTACCTTATAGGCTTGTTGAAGGTAAAATGAGTTAATATTTATAAAGCGCTTACTACAGAGTCTGGCGCTACGCTAACAGGAGCCAGGGATGTTTAAAAAAAAAAAAAAAGTGAGTAAGAAACAGCGTTAACACCCATGTACTTGCCCAAGGCCCTTCGTAGGTTTTGTCCATGCTGGAAGGAGGAATTAACAAAATATTTTGTTTTCCCCAGGTCCCCGCTCCCCCCACCCCCGCCCCCGTCTTCCGTTTCTCAATCCTACACCAAGTAACAATACTGTCGGAGAAACAAGCCGAGAGCGTCCCCCGGTGGCACAGCGCCGCCTTCGGTCTAAGAGCTTGGGGGCTAAGGGCCCGCCAGCTTCGCACTACAACTCCCATGCATCTCCCCGACTCTGACCTCGGATTGGGGTGGGGCGCGACTTGTGGTGCTGCGCGGGCAACTCCCGCGCATAACGTCGCAAAAACCGGATAATTACAGCGCCCAGAATTACTTCCGGGGTAGGGAGTAATACTCCGGTGGGGGCTTGCAGGGATACATATAACCCTAGTTTTCTTCCGCCATCCGGCTAAATAGTCCCATGGTCACATCCTACCACAGATAACACAACCCGAGAAGCGCCTTTCTACACTTACATTTCAGCGTAAATGCTGAATAATAAAGAAAATCTGAGTAAAGTGACCTGCCGCAATCGCTATACGTCTCCTAAAACAGTCTTCCTGTGTGCGCGTAGGGATCTCGTGCTATATAAGAGAGTCGGGGCCGGCTCTACATTCTTTCTCGGGTCCCGCTTCGAAGATGGTGAGTTGTGGCGCGTGGGTAGTGGTAGGGGTCCGCGTGGGGGCCTGGGAGGAATAGATTCTGTGGTTGTGGGGATATGAAAACCGGGACCATGGCGGAGAGTACACAGAGTGTCTATTTGCTTCGACCTTGGAGGGATGTGCGGAGGGGCTGAATGTCTTGAGTAGTCATTCTGGGGGCTGCCGGCACGATTGTAGCCGGCAGGGGGCTAAGGTTGGGGAAGCTGCGCCTTCTTTGTAACAGGATCTTCATTCTGATGCAGACCAAGAAAAGGAGGAATAATGGTCGTGCCAAAAAGGGCCGCGGCCACGTGCAGCCTATTCGCTGCACCAACTGCGCTCGTTGTGTGCCCAAGGACAAGGCCATTAAGAAGTTTGTTATTCGGAACATAGTAGAGGCCGCCGCTGTCAGGGATATTTCCGAAGCCAGTGTCTTCGACGGTGAGTGAGCTTCTGGCACAACCCATCCACACCTGCAGGCTCTGTTCGTGAGCGGTTCCCAGGCAATTTCTGCGGGCCTTTAGGATTACTGTTGGTAAAAGAGACCGGTGTTTAGCTTCGTTTGCTTTAGCCTTGTCTGGACAGAGGGGGTCTTTGTGTGATAGTGCAGTCTTTGGGTCATGATTTGTGGTTATCTGTTCAGAGATTGAGATTGCGAAAGCGTTTTAGAGTTTACCTATATCAGCATTTGTATCACTAGCTACAAATATGGTAAATGGAGCACCCTTTCTGGGTTTTTAAAGGCTGGAGTATTCCTTATAAAGATGTACAGAGTGGGGCGCCTGGGTGGCTCAGTTGTTGGGTGGCTGCCTTTGGCTCAGGTCGTGATCCCCGGGTTCTGGGATCAAGCCCCGCGTTGGGCTCTCTGCTCAGATGATGGGCCTGCTTCTGCCTGTTCTCCCTCTCTTGCTGTGTCTCTCTTTGTCAAATAAATAAAATCTTTAAAAAAAAAAAAAGACGTACAGAGTAAGTCTTTTTTTTTTTTTTTTTTAAGATTTTATTTATTTATTTATTTGACAGAGATCACAAGTAGGCAGAGAGAGAGGAGGAAGCAGGCTCCTTGCTGAGCAGAGAGCCCGATGTGGTGCTCGATCCCAGGACCCTGGGATCATGACCTGATCGGAAGGCAGAGGCTTTAACCCACTGAGCCACCCAGGCACGCCCAGACTAAGTCTTAATAAGGAATGTTTTAATAAGGAAGGTGGTTTTACTTGGTCAAAGGTGATATTTGGAGCAGTGTGCTGTTATTTTGATCATTTATTTTTCTTTTTTTTTCTTTTAAGATTTTATTTAAGATTTATTTATCCATTATTTGTCAGAGACAGAGGGAGAGAGAGTGAGTGAGCACAGGCAGACAGAGAGGCAGGCAGAGGGAGAAGCAGGCTCCCTGCCAAGCAAGGAGCCCGATGTGGGACTCGATCCCAGGACGCTGGGATCATGACCTGAGCCGAAGGCAGCCGCCTAACCAACTGAGCCACCCAGGTGTCCCAATCATTTATTTTTCTTAAGACAAATTAGTTTTCTTAGGCAAGGAGAAGGGGCCCAGGAACAGGCATTAGGACTGGTGCAGCTTCTGAAGAAGCTGGATTGTTGGTTTATTGCGAGTAGGCTGTGGATTTAGTACACGTGGTGAAAAGGATTAGTAGGGGATTATTCATTTGTGAAAATGTACGTGTTATCAGAAACTGAATGGTTGCTTTGGAAATCGAACTTTGTAGGCGTGCCTGAGAGACACTTAAGTAGGTTTATTTTTGACTTGATAGAATGGGAGGACAAGGGCAGTGTGGGTATGTAATACCTACTGTTGTGCCCTTTTCTGTTTCTTAGCCTATGTGCTTCCCAAGCTCTATGTGAAGCTACATTATTGCGTGAGTTGTGCCATTCACAGCAAGGTAGTCCGGAATCGCTCTCGTGAAGCACGGAAGGACCGAACACCCCCACCCCGATTTAGACCCGCGGTAAGTATCTTAATTTTTTGTTTTTTTTTTAAGATTTTATTTATTTGAGAGAGTGAGTGAGAACAAGCAGGGGGAGAGGGAGAAGCAGGCTCCTTGCTGAGCAGGAAGCCCTTGACACGGGTCTGGATCCCAGGACCCTGGGAACATGACTGGAGCTGAAGGCAAGTGCTTAACCCATTTAGCCACCCAGCCACCCCCATGGTAATTATCTTTTAAAAAAAGAGATGTGGAAGCCCAGAGGGGTGATGGATGAGAGACAACATGAAGACCCAAGGAATCTCAGATTAAGGTCTGAATAGGTAAGGTAGGTGGAACTCACGTCTAAAACATTTG